ATACTACAGGGCGACCCTAATAGCCACGGTGGTGCTGGCATACAAGGCGGAAGACAGACCGCAGTGGGTAGACATAGAAACGATGTGGGCATGCCCAAAAGGGCTACACCACATATTCTGGATACCTCACCACTTACGCCCCAAACCCACAGGAATGCCTGACACCACATCACTCCTATTGAGGACATGGGATGCAACCAAACACCAGATAGGATACACGAAAAAGTGGTCATTAGCAACCCCGATACAAAGCATACACATAGCTAATCCCACATTCAACTACAAACCATGGGAAAGAAGTGGCTGCACATTAGTCAAATACCTGTATCACAACAACACCTTAATGCAATTCCCAGACCTCCAGAGCCGATACGGCCTACCACCGCAATCACTATTCTCATACCTCCAACTCAAGTCACTCCCGGAGCATGACACAGAGGTTACCACACCTAAAAAAGCAAGGAACATTGTGGGAATTTGCATAGCTAGAATGATACCAAAAAATTATCTCAAACATATACAAGTTACTGACAGACCCACCAGGCGAGGACAGGGAGAATTTCCAGGAAACATGACAAACAGACATAGGCAAAACACTATCAACAGAACTTTGGCAAAATGTGTTCATAGTACACAAGGGCAGATCCAGATGCGCTTCCCACTTAGAACTGATACGCAAAATACAGTATAGATGGTACATGGTGCCGACTAGGCTAGCGACTATCTACCCCAACACGTCTATGAATTGCTGGAGATGTGGGAGGGAGAAGGGAACGATGTACCACATATGGTGGACATGCGCCCTTATCACCGATTATTGGGTGGAAATAGGCAACATTATTGCGATCGCTACACACCAAACTGGGAAACTGGAACCAGAGTGCGGACTCCTTTTCATGACCTTAGAAAAACTCTCCAAAACCCAAGCCTTCCTAATGTTTCACATACTAATGGCAGCAAACTTACACATTGCAAAGTCGTGGAAACAGACAGACACCCCAAACATAGACACAGTGATTAAGCAAATCCCAACGAATATAGATTACGAGACAAGGATACACACAGGGCATAAAATACAAGAGTATAGAATGAGAGCCAAACATGAGTGGGAAAGGTTCCTTGAAAGGAATGACGAAGTACGGAGAGGCAGTGACACACCATAGAACACAACAGTAGGGAGCGGGAACAACGGGGGCAAGAGGGATGAACCTAGATTCAATCGGGAAGCTCACACGGAACCCCTAAGGGACAGGATCAGAGGAGTGGACACCCACAATGTACATAGTTGTGTCAGTAGACACCCAACACTACCAAGGATATTCACTAGCCACCCAGGCAGAGAGGCGAAGCACCGATATCATGCAATAGATAACACAAAGGGACAGAGTGAGCCAAGTGCTTACGAGGCTTATCTGGAAATACCCTCTGGGGCTAGACGAGAAATGCAGCAAAATCCCCCTTCCCCTCCCCCCCAATCTGCCCGCCTTCCCCTCCATGTAGTATCCTTACCTCACATACCACACGGGGTTCACTGGTACATCCTGGACCAAGGAGACTCGGAGTAAGGGGCCCGCACAGATGTTCGAAGCAATAAGGCAGAGCGAAGCCACATACGCATCACCAACTCGACAGCATTGCCAGACACACAGAGCGTTCTGATGTAACAAGTATTGTTGAATGAGCATGTATAACAATGTAATGTACTGATTGGAACTGTACAGTGGTAAAGTTACTATTAACCCTACCCTTCTTGCCTTTTGTATCCAATGCATACTTAAGAAAATAAAAAAAATTCAAATTAAAAAAAAAAAAAACAATTCAGATACATATACTACTGGAGATATTACTACCTTTTACACGAGAGAGTTTCTTACTACATTTAGACTGGCCTAAAATACATGAAGAGAATAGAATAATGATAACACATATTCTGATGGCCTCAAAATTGGTACTAGCAAGAAACTGGAAAAGTAGCAAAATTCCAGAATGGAATGAAACCAAGTCCCAGACAATATACCAATGTAAAATGGAACTTCCTACAGCCTGATCAAAATAGGCAGATGGAATAAAATAATAGATATTGTTACGATTGCCCCCGGTCTAGCAGGAGGCTTGATTGCTTGGATGTCCTGGTTCCCGCAGTAGAGAGTCGAACAGAGTCCTTTGGTAAAAAGCTGCAAGTGTAGAATATCCCAAACACGGTATAAGCATCAATATCCCGGATCCCTACAACATGAGTTGAGGCTGCAAGTTGAGGGTCAAAACGAACTGATTTTACTGGCACACAAACATGGCAATTTATGCAATTCCTCAGGTCCAAGGACAGCCCCCTGTGGACTTGATGGAATACAGGTACAGTACAAACAGGTAACCAATCACAGTACAGTGTATCATTTGAATTAGTACCCGCCCAGCTTGGAGATAATGAAGCCAACGGTTATACAATCTAATTATCTCCAAGGGCAACAAAAGACCACGTTTTATTATGCCTCATAAAACTGTATAAAAATACATAACTTCAACATTAATAGGGGAAAACGGTTCATTCTACCATTCATTCAATAGCTCGCGTTCGGGTACATTAAACATACGAATGGCGCTCCAAACCCGCGGACAGAATGAGCAATTTTTACCGTATAAAGTCCGTTCGGTATTTTGGGTCATGAGTCCCTGATGGCGGCCATGTTTTTAGACAGTTTAACGAGCAGCGGGACCTCGCCTCCAACTTATGGAACTGAACTTGGGTATAGGTCCATGCGAATCCCCGCTGTCTGTCTGGTAGTGGAAATCGTTAGGTATACGAATTAGGACCACCTGGTAGCACGGTACTTGAGTTGCGGTTAAACGCAGAAACCACAGGCTAATTGCTGACACACGACCCACTGTAGGAGGTCTCCGTTCGTGAGGTTATTCGGTAGTTCCCATTCGGTGGTTTGTAGGCGAACGTCGATCCGCCTTGCCCGTCAATAAGTTTGTGGTTAACCGCAGACCGCAGCCGCCTGTGTGGTTAATGGGCGCCACACTCCGCTTGTTGGGTGGTCGGCCATTCGGTACTTTGCGGGGTGAGGAGGTTAATTGGCGGCACACGCCAGCGTTTGAGGGGTCTCTTATTCGTATCACGAATGGGTCTTTATAAGGGTTCGTATAGTCCATTCGTGTTTCACCGTGTTAAAAGTATATGGCTGCAACAGTAACAACATGTGGTAACAATAATGGAGTCATTTTGAGTCTTTTGTAACAAATATATTACAAAGATGATAGATTATAAAAAATAAAAAAAAATACAGGAGAGAATTAGATAGTATCATAGAATGTGATGGCAGATAGGAACCATTTGGCCCATATTTTCATTAGGACCCTGGCCTTATTTTATAGCTAGGATAGCCTTATGCCTATCTCACATATGCTTAAACTCCCTCACTGTGTTAACCTCTACCACTTCAGCTGGAAGGCTATTCCATGCATCCACTAATCTCTCAGTAAAGTAATACTTCCTGATATTATTTTTAAACCTTTGCTCCTCTAATTTAAGACTATGTCCTCTTGTTGTGGTAGTTTTCCTTCTTTTATCCTCTGAGTAAACACAAGATAATGATCTTAGAAAGAAAATAAGATGCTGATGCATGTCTCAGTATTAGCTGGGCATTAGCCCAGGATAAATGAAGGAAGGAAATTAAATATATCCTAGCAAAGCCCATCTATATCTATATATAGATGTAGTTTGAATGATGAATGTATTCATATGTAACAGTTTGTCATAATGTTAATGTTTTATGTTCTAAGTATTCTCTAAAAGAGAAATATGTAATTTGATAAAATTTGATAAATAAAAGAAAGTAAAAAAGAAGCTCCTCACGGACCTACTGCAGGACTGGAAAGTGGATCTCCAAGTCTGAAATACTGGTGGTTCCCTGGAAAGTGAAAGAGATGGAGGAGAGAGAAGCCTCCAGAGATAAGAAACTAAGACACCTACAGCCAGATAGAGGGCCTTAACTCCCAGGTACAGAGACTAAATCGCACAGTTACCACAATGGTTACCACAATGGTTACCATAGGTGCCGGAACCTTTGCCTCAGAGGAATCCCTGAGACAGTCGGCGGTGTGCAATATGTCCACAACCACCTGTATGGGAGTTGATGGAGGCTGTGACCCTCCGCAGATCACCACAGTGTTCCGAGTGCGAAAATCAGCTGCAGCACCCAGAGGAGCACCTAGAGACATCATTGCCATAAGTGACAAACTGCCCTTTGCCACTGGCTTTTGGAGGAGCCTGATTGCCAGCCTCCTACCCTATGACTATGGCCCTGGGGTGTATTGTCCTTTAAGAACATTATTGGGGCATATTGAGGCTTGGCACAATGCCCCTTTAAACTGTCAAAGTGGTCGAAGTGGAACTTCGAACTACCGAACAGCCAGACCACACACAAGTGGAGTGTGCAGCCAATTTACCACCCAGGCTGGTGGTTAACCGCAAGCTAATAGACGAATGGCTGGGTGGTCGCCGTTCGTATAGTCGAACACGGGGCGGTGGCCATCTTGTTTAGTCGAATGTGGTCAGCAGTGTTTTGCCGTCAAGTTCATGGAACTCAAAGCGGACACACGATGGCACGAACACAGCTGAACCTTACCTTCTCTGGAACTTCGACACTTCGGCGGGAGTCGAACGGTGTTCGTCAATTCGAACACCACTTTAACACTTTAATGGCCCCATTCGTGCATTCAAACTGCATTTGAACTATGGGGAATAGACCGACCACACAGCCTAAATCTATGGAACTCTTTGGGGCATGAAAGCCATGCTTGCGGTCGGTCAAATATGACTTCCATGGAATTCTGGAACCCCTGCTCTGATCTGGGTGATGTTTGGATATGTGGTTCACCCAGATCAGGGCTATCCAGTGATGTATAATTTATGGGGATATGTTGTTGTTTTGGGGTGTTTCTGGACTTTGGGTGAAACTGGATATTTTCTGCCTGTGGTAATTGAGTTAGTCCGTTGTTGTAACGGCACCCCCAGGCATAAAAGGGTTAAACCGCCTTTTAGTAGATCTTCCCTTCCAGAGACACAAGCACAGCTACTGCAGAACACCAATCCGCCGAACAGGAAACCATATGAATGCTGTAAACAGCCGAATAGGAAAAACCATACGAATAGGTTTACACTCCTAGCAGTCAAACTGTAACAGCATTCAATAAATCCCCCCAAGAACGAGACAAAGCTCCGTGTTGAGGGTCAAGCAGTGAACAGTCAGAGCTGTGGGTTTATTGTTCTTTTGTACACATTCTTACACATTAGTACCACCCACAGGGTTTTGGAACACAACCAATAAACACATACAATAAACTCAGACACCCCCACACAAAATCCTCCCCTCTGCCTGTGATACAATTACCTTACACAATGGGTAATGTAATTAGCACAAGCAAAGAAATAAATTTTTTCCACATTATTCATAACTTGGAAAGTATGCATCACATTCACATAAAACTTACATTTCAGAATCAGCATACTCCAAATACAAACATACGTCAAATTCATACAAATTGGTCCAATGGTTCAAAAGATAGATCATAGTCCTTTGTGACCACAGGGAGCATGGCTTTTCTGCCCAAAACCAGTTCCACAGAGTCTTCTATCCTGGAGATAATTGGGAAGTAATCCAATTATCTCCAAAGACATTGAACACATGGCAGCAAAAGGCAATAAAACGCATAAAATCATATAACTGTGCAGCCATTGCACAAAACAGGTACATTCAACATATCCCCAGATAGCTCAGATCTGAGCGCACATTATTACTGAATGGCGCTCAGAGCACACACATACAGTTCAATTGCCATGGAGCCAAAGTCTTTCCCATAGTCTTTCATTATACGAATGGGCTCCATGCCATAGCTATCTGGGGTATCACCGCTCAAACAGGGCAAGCCTTTGTGCTCATTAACTCATAATGTACACAACCCTCCCCTCTGCCTTTCTTGTCTTTGGAGGGGAAATCAAGCATTTTAACATGGGGCCATAATCCAAAGGCAACAGGCGAGCAACCAGGCTTCTCCAATGCAATGTGGCGAGATTGGTCTCGTCACAATTGTATTTGGTGATTGTATCAGAGGCAGAGGGGAGGGTTGTGTACATTATGGGAGTGTCTAACTGTGAAATACTGTTTTGATTGGCTGTTGGGACTTTGTGTTCTGTCCTCCACAATGTCCACGTGGGTAGTAACCTTGTGGGGAAAACTGTATATAAGAAATGCCTTTGTGCTCATTAACCAGTTCTACTTGACCCTTAACTCGCAGCCTTGACTTGTGTTTGGAGGTGACAGCTATAATCACTATAGGGATTGCTTTGTTCTGCATATTCCCTTAGCTTCATTGAGCTCTTGTAAGAGCTTGTTCCTGTTCCTGCTTCGCTCTCTGGTTCACCCACTGGAACCTGGAGCCTTGTTGTAGGCCCAGGGTGAGTAGGAGACGGCGAAACCCCAAGCAAGAAACCAGTACTTATGGTGTCTGGTGCGGTGCTGATGGTCCTTGGTGAGTGCTAGGAGCATCCTTTCTATGGTCCAACTCTCAGCTAGCTTGGGGCAACCGTAACACCATATCCCAAGACGTAACAGTGAGGTCAGTGATTACGAATCGCTAGTGAGCACTGGGGGCGATACGCCACGAAGGCCACATAGTAGACATAAATGCCAACCTCCCGTTCTCAGTCCTATCAGAGAAATGAAAACTGGCAACAGTTGCCAGAAGGCTGCGACATAGTTCTGTCAGGTATCGATGGGGAATGGAGGATTCCCTTCTGGTTGGCAATGGGAATAAGAGCCTTCTGCTGACCTTATCAAACGACTCAGAGACTTTTCTAAACATATTGGGACTATCAACCCCGTTGCGAGCTGAGACCTCGACATCATCACAAAGTAACAAGACTGAATACCGTGACAAATATAGACCCAATAAACTGCTGGAGAATGCTGCCAAGTAGCAGAGGTTTTCACCCAGAGTCACTCACTCTCCTCATCCATACCTGGCTGCTCATACAGTTCCAAATGCCACCAGCAATGTTATACTATAATTTAATTTACTTTACTTTTGCTTTATATACCTTACACTGGTCTCCTTTCCTTTCAAACCGGGTCATATTGTATTATATTATATAAGAGTAGACTGACAGAACACTAACAGAACACACAATACTTAGGGACACGTTACCAACAGCTATATAAGTTCTAGTGCCAGAAGCTGTTGTATGACATCTTTCCATAGCTCGTGCCCATGAATAACATAAATGTATGCTACAACTGTTAATAATACTGTTAACATGCTCATGTACACTTTCCTACTATGTATAATGGATAAGTAGCACAATGTACATACAAACCAAATAAAAAGAACATTTGAGGAAAAATAAAAAAAAAGGTAAGAGAGTAAATTCTCCAAGCACTATTTACATTTTATATATGGTGTTATAACACCCTGCTAAATTCTATATAAGTGCCTTACTACTTCCAATTGTTGGATTAGTTAGTCAAGGTCGGCTGTAGATGTGTAAACATATATCCTGGTTGACTGCAGCAATCTTACTGTTGGAAGCTTCTTTCCAGGCTTGGCCTTCTCGGCTCTGCTGGTAGGTCAGCTCAGTGGCCATCTTGCGAACAGCGTGCAGTGTTGCTAGGTTACCATCTAAGGGCATCTTTTTTGCACTTACAATCAGATTTTATTGGTAAGTCATTTACATGTTTTTCATTGTTAAATTGTTTTTGGAAAAGGCCAGAAGGGAACAAAACTTTGACAACATTTCCTGATGTAAATACACTGAATCGAATAAATTAATGAATTGAAGCCCTATAAGTGCACCTCATCTCATGTCAAGAATAAGTGTTTCATTGACACACTATCTGACCTAACTAGGATATACAACAATGATATCAGCATGTTGTTTGAACTAGAAAAATATAGGCAGATGATAGCAGAAAAAGGAAGTATGTTAAGAACAGAAGTAGTTAAAGTGCACTCCAGTCATTTCACCATGCTTGCTCTCATTTTGTTTTCTGGCATCCATGCCATGGCTTAACTTAAATTTCTGAACTGCTTTCACTTCGGCTTGACTACTCTTTTACCATTTCACCTCTTTGAAGGCACAGCAATAATTCTACCATTCTATACACATCTATACTTTATATTTAGATTTAGGTCCTGTGTGTCAGGTCACTCCAAACAGTACCAATATATGACTTGTCAAAATCCTAATAAACAAAGTTTTACTGAATATAAAAAAAAACAAAAAACTTTAATCAATTTACCTTATTCCTAAAAATGTTATTAAATGATTTTTCACGAAGGTATTTGTTGTCATTAAACAGCATCAGTTGTAAAGACAAAACTAAGAACTCAAATGCTTTAACCATTCGAGATAAATAATTAGAAGTCATTTCAGCTTTTGAAAATGTAACTTGATATTCCGTAGAGCAGTTTCTAAGAGGCATCTCAAAAAAAAATGTATACACAAAATTAGAAAGTTTGTTTAATGATAAACACTCTAAGGATTGCATCCATACATCTTCAAGAAGCTTGTCTTCTGGGAAGTTTGAAGGATGGCTCACAGTAAACACTCTCCAAGGGCATGAAAATGGCAAATCATAAGCTGCAATCAAGAAAATGCCATTAAGGGCTGGGAAGTTAAAGACATTATAATCAAAATTGAATGCATGGTAAGATGACATAATTAAAGTCATATCATATAATGTCTGAAATAATGGAAATATTGTTATTAAAACTTTAAGAGAATATGATCCACAAAATATGATTATTTTAGCACCCGACTTTTGTATTATTTCTTTAATTGTTTCTAACTTTTGGTCCTTAATCACATCAATATATTTTATTCTGAAGGCTACACAGATATCCTTAGTGGCCATATAGTCTGAGAGAACTCTGCTCTCTGTCTCTCCAGTTATAGGATCCAGGGCAAAAATTCCAACCCAATTCCATCCAAAGTGTTTCAGAAGCTTGACTACCATTTTGTAATAGATATGGTTATTTTGAAACATATGGAAAACATATGGATATCGAAGTCTATCAGTCAACATCTGGACAGTAGCTCCATAGCTGATCTATAGAACACAAAAAAACATAAAAAGTGAGAACTGTCAATATCCAAATAAGGCTTTGTCAGCAGCATCAACTTTAGAAACAATATACAGGCAGGCAATATGATACCACAGTCAAAACTAGGGAGGCACTAATAACTTCCACTTGGGGTGGAAGGGGGAGGAGGGTGTTACGGTTGCCCCAGGCTAGCTGAGGGTTGGACCGTAGAAAGGATGCTCCTAGTGCTTACCAAAGGATCATCAACACCGTAGACACCATACGTACTGCAGATCCCACGAACCGCCGCTGCTGGGTTGAGGTTTTTTCGTCTTCTATCCACCATTGACCTACTACAAGGCTCCAGGTTTCAGTGCGGGAACCTCTCTTCCTCCCAGAGAGGAACAGGAAGAAGCTCTTACAAGCGCTCAGTGAAGCTAAGGGAATATGCAGAGCATAGCAATCCCTGTAATGACTCTAGCTGTCCCCTTCAAACACACCCCCCTATATAATATACTTGAGTGTCAAGTAGAACTGGTTTTAATGAGCACACATGACTTTATTTTATACAGGTTTTCCCACAAGGTTACCACCCACGTGGGCCTGGTGGAACACAGGACACAAAGTTGCAACAGCCAATCAACACATTACAGTACAGTCAGACACTCCCAGCTAAGACACACAAACCCTCTCCTCTGCCTGTGATATAATTACTGAACACAATGGGCTAACTTAATTATCACAGGCAGAAAATATACAGTTTTTACCCAAAACATAGAAACACTCCAAAACAGCAACATATCTCCAACATATCTCCAAAAATACATCCCTGGATAGCGCTGATCTGAGTGAACAACATATCCAAAAATCACCCAGATCAGAGCAGGGGTTCCCGAATTCCATGAAAGTCTTTGTGACAAACTGCCATTTACCACTGGCTTTCTATGTGCCAAACTGCTCTGCTCCCCTGGCTTATGGAGAAAGCTGTCCTTCCTCTGTCAAAATATGACTTCCACCTATCTCCTTAACCACTTAACCGATTCAAGTGAATTTTGAATATGTTTGTCCCTGTTACGGTTGCCTCCAGGCTGGCTGGAAGTTGGACCATAGAAAAGGATGCTCCTAGCGCTCACCAAAGGACCATCAGCACCGTAGACACCATAAACACTGCGTAGACACCATAAGTACTGCAGACTCCATGAACCGCCGCTGCTGGGCTGGGATCTCGCCATCTGCAATCCACCCTGGACCTATGCCCAGGCTCCAGGTTCCAGTAGGTTCACCTCTTCCTTCTGCCAAGCGTAGCAGAATCAGGAACAAGAGCTCAGTAGTAAGGGAGCATGCAGAGCATAGCAATCCCTTGTAGTGATTATAGCTATTCCCTACAAACATGAGTCGAGGCTACAAGTTAGAGTGACAAGTCATTCTGTTTAATTGGCACCAGAGGGCCTTCTTTTATGCAGGTTTTCCTTACATAGGACTGTAACGGATCGCCTGGCACCCCGACTGGGTACCTCCGTTGAAGGATGCTCCTAGCGCTTCCTGAGGACTCCAAGCACTCTGGCAGACACCACAATCACCGAACCGGAGAAACAAATAAATTCTCCCAAGCATATGAATGCTGTAGACAGTTGAATAGGAACCATACGAATAGGTTTACTCTCCTAGCAGTCAAACTGGAACAGCATACAATGAATCCTTCCCCCAATAATGAGACGACACTTCACTTTGAGGGTTAAAACAGGAACTCCCTGTACTGTCACATACAGTCTATTTTATTCCCAATCCACAAACATAGTACAGCCCACAGGGCATTACAAAACAGCCAATCAATCCATACAATACACCCAGACACTCCCACACAAAATCCTCCCCTCTGGCTGTCATATGATTACTGAACACAATGGGTAATCTAATTATCACAGCCAGAGAAATACAGTTTCATAAAACACATCACAGGGACCCCAAAAAATGCAATAACCCCATAAAAAGTATATCTTTGGAACTGGGGGATCTGGGTGAACCACATATCCAAAATTCACCCAGATCCATTCAGTACTTTGGAAAATACAGTTTAATGCAGATACTGCAGAACATATACAGGCTAAATAAAAAACAATCACTGTATAATGTGTCCCCTGCTGTATAGTCCAAAACCACCACACGATGTCTCTGTGCAACAAATACTGGCGAGATGGCACCGTGTTGAAAAGTCCACACAGTGTCTGTGAGTTAAAATGGCCGCCATCCATTGTTCTCACCATGTGCTTCTGATACAGGAAATGGTGGCCACCCAGTAACTCCACAGTATGTCCCCAGATGGTTCTTAAAAGGGCTAGCAGCAGCACAACACAAATCCATTATGCCCAAATCATGTCTTTAAAGGGCAATACATTCCAGGGGCCATAGTCACATGGCAGGAGGCTGGCAACCAGGCTTCTCCAGTGCATAGTGGCGAGGTTGGTTACGCCACAAGGACCACCCACAGGGTTTTACAGAACAACCAATAACACACGTACATTACAGAAAACACTCCCAACAATTACACACAAAATCCTCCCTTCTGCCTGTGATATAATTATGGTACACAATGGTTAACATAATTATCACAGGCAGGAAAAATACAGTTTTTCCATACATCCAATCTTCATAAAAACATATTATTAATCAGCATTCTTAAAATATAAACATACTCAAAAATCATTAAAATCCGTTTAGTAGATCAAAAGTTAGACGGAAGTCCTTTATGACCGATTACAAGCACATTTTCATGCCCAAAACAGTTCCATAGATTTGGGCTGTGCGGTCGGTCTATTTCAGGCTGAAAAAATGACTAAGTCCCATCACCGAATGGGACTTTGTCTCTGCGGCTGAAAGTTCAGTATGGGAGAAGGTACAGGTCAACGGTGTTCGCAGAAATGTGCAGCGATTTTTAGTTCCATGAATTTGGCTGCACACACCACTGACCGTATTTGAATGAATAAAGATGGCGCCACCACGTGTTCGTTTGCGCGAACCGTGGCCACCCAGCATTCGGCAATTTACCTACAGCAGGCTCCCAGCCTGGGAGGTAAATTGCCTGCACACTTCCACTTCTGGGTGGTCCGCCTATGTGGTACTTGGTTCAGTAAGCCTTATTTACTGAACCAAGTGGGAAATAGCCAGGAACAAAGGGTTTTAACCAAGTCTGGGGACACTGGGGACACTGGGGACACATGCTTAAAGGGGCAGTGTCCCCAACAAGTCTGGGGACAACGTCTTAAAGGGGTATTGTCACGATTTTCCCTGGGTCCCAAAAATGTGCTTAAAGTGCCAGCACCAGTTCCATAGAAGTCCCTAAGCCCCAATATGCCCACCGACTGTCTTAAAGGTCCATACACACCCGGTCCATAGTCATGGGGGAGGAGGCTGGCAAATAGGCTCCTCCATAATCCAGGGAAGCAGGGCAATTTGTCATTTAAAGGAACAGTTACAAAAGGCATATTGTAACAGTCCACAAATTATGCTTGTTATAAACATATAAGTTTTATTAATATTGCATGTAAACTCACAAATGTCATAAAAGTATTTTTTTTTAGCTTGGAGATAATTGAGTTGGTTGTTAAATTTACAGTTCCAGTGCCCCACAAGGTCCTTGTGGGTGGTAACCTTGCTGGGAAAGTTGTATATAAGCAGGAATAAACACTCATTTGAGTCAGTTCTTCTTCACCCTCAATCTAGAGTCCTGTCTCTAGAACCGTCTCTAGAAAAATTTAAATTTTTCAAACTGCTATGTCACAGCAGTATTTTTACGGTTCTATTTGACTCTCAGATATGAAGTGCACTGCAGGCCGCAAATGTACTATTTAACACTGAACAAATTAAACTTTTTCAAAGTGCGATGTAACCACAGTATTTGACAGTTTTATTTGACTCTCAGATATAAAGTGCACCCCACTAAAGTACTTTTTAGGAGCAAAAAAATTGGAATTTGTCAAAGTGCGATGTAACCACACTATTTAACGCTTCTATTTGACTCTCAGATATGACCCAAATGTACTTTTTAGCACTTTAAAAATTTAATTTTTTAAAACTGCAATGTCACAGCAGTATTTGACGGTAGAACTGTTACATTTATCCAAATTATGACAATTACTCAGAAACTGGCAACGATAATAATGTTTAATAAAAAGATGTAAAAAAAAAAAGTAACAAATTAAAATATACATTACAACTAAAGGCATACTATGCTAAACAAGTACCAGATATTTGATTAGTTATTGTGATTAGTTATTTAAAGCATTTCATAATTCTTGCAGTTTTAATGTGGGTCTCTTTCCTCCTTTCTCGTTCACTATGTACTCTCTGCAGGTGTCCTGTGACTCAATAATGCTTTGACTATTCTCCTCCTGTTCCCTGCCTCTAGCATGCATCTCAAAACCAGTTAAACATTTTTTTTAATTTATTTGCCAGGCTTACAGATAGAACTGCAAAAAAAAGAGATTCACAGGTGTCACAACATAGTGAAAGCAAAATAAAATATTTATTGGAGATCAAAAAGGACAAAAATATATGGCCTCAGGTCGAAACGTTGTATTTCTTTTGTCCTTTTTGATCTCCAATAAATATTTTTGTGACTTTATCCTGCGTTGTGACGCCTGTAGACCTCTATATTTCTTGATCCTGGTGGACTGCAGACCCCTTTCCACAAAGCCCCATGTAAACATTTTTGTGTGCAGCACACCTCTTACTTTATACAGATAGAACTGGTTACTACCAGTTTCCAGGACAATTCCTTTGTTTGAAATGAAACCAGTGCTATAATTATTCAGGGAATATTTCCTTAGTGGTCAAACTCATAGTTTATAATGTTATTCATATTTCAAATCCGTTTATATAGCTTTATGACTTGCACGACAAAAAACAGGATGCTTGAAGGCACTTTGTACCATAAAATGAATTTACAGAACTAAGCATATTTCAATGGTTATGTATAAAAAAAAACATAAGAAGGGGGCTGAGGGTAAGGCTGCAATTGTCTCCTCATAAACCACAGAATGTCACAAGTAAAGAATTTATGCATACTTGTCAGACACTGAAACTAGATTAAAAGTTCAAAGCATAACATGAAAGTAAAAACAGACTGGACATTCAGTCATCTGTAGCTTGAGCCTTGGGTCAAGGTGCCTTCCATCACAATTCCCCTCTTTTTGACCGCAAGGCTCACCCAGGTGTATGAGCTATGTCCAGGTATGCTAGTCATACCTGTGGGTCTTTTATAATGCCTTCACCATGGTTCCCTCAGACAGGGCAAGCCAGGGGTCACAGGAGGAATGTTTCTTCATCAGTTATACAGCGCTGTAGGTGTCAGTGGTTGAGGAAGCTGGCATATAAGTTAAGGTATGACCAACATGACATTTTGATTTACACAAGGATGATAGAAGCCAGAAGAAGAACTTAAATGTCAGAAAAATCATCATTATGACAAATACTGCGATAGTAAGAAATACAATATTTTCTTAATTAACATACTGAGCCATGTACCAAGACCAAAGGTCCAATACCAATCCCCAAAAAGCCCTGTGTCTTGTTTTATTACATTTACTAGATTGTGCAGATTCTGTATATGCTCATGAATCATGGCCCGTGATCCGAAAGATTAAAGCAAGCAAGCAAGATTTACTGCTTCACACCCTAAATCACGTTTCATTAACAAATAGTCAATAGCTGCCCAATTTTCAAGGATCGCTTTCTTATTAACCTTAGTATTATACAGTAATGCTACCATATAGTACGCAAGGGCAGAGATTTATATAAGAGAGTAATCTTAGGGTTACAATCTGAAGTAAGGGTGTCTTTGACATCTCTCCTGTCTCTCTGCAGTTTGTGTAGCTGGGTGGTTTCAGAGATCAGGTCAGATTTGGAAAACATGATCATGGTTAGGCATGAGATTGCACAAGGACCTCCTGTAATGTTACCCGGGACATAAGCATAAGTCACATTTCCACAGGATAAAATCCCTCTTTTAGGGAGATAGATATGGTGATGGTAACTCGTAACTTGGTGAGCTTGGATACATTTCCTAGTGGTGCTCAGGGCTCTACTATTTGGGGTATTTCTCCACCATGTGGGGCAAAACAGATATTTAGTATTAGGGTCTCTTGAACAATTACATGAAAAAAAACAACATAGTTCTGCAGCTGTCACATTAATTGTCTTCAGGGCTAGGTGGGCTTACCTACCAGTGGGTTGAAAGCATAATAATGTAGCTGTAGAGTTTTATGGGGTGTATGGGTATGTAGGTACTTCTCCAAAATTGAGATGGGGCTAGGTATAAGGCAAGATTGTATGGCGTTTTCAGTACTGAGGGGAGGGTTGAGGCAAAAGGAGCTTAGAGTAAACGCTATCTGTATCCATATATTTCCCCGCCATGCATTATTATCTTCTGGTCTTAAGTCAGAGTAGCATATCTGAACAGAGCATACAATGGTAAAGGATAAGAACAGCTTCATGTCAGTGGATCAGTCGGAATGACTTGTTTACAGTGACTAGCAAGGTTGGTGGCAGGAACCGCACTCACTCCCAGCGGCCACGGGTGCTCTGGAGCAGGACCAGCAATTTGACAAGGCAAACAAAAAAACTCACAGGCACTCCAAGTGTAAAGCCGCAGGCAGGTTTATTGCAACAAAACGAACAGCAACGTTTCGACCTGACTAGAGACAAAGAGCTCTAGTCAAGTCGAAACGCTGCTGTGCATTTTGTTGCAATAAACATGGACTTTACACTTGGAGTGCCTGTGAGTTTTTTGTTTGCCTTGTTTACAGTTGTTAAGACCTGCAGTGATTATGGTATTGCAGTCTTCTATTCCTTTCCCAATAGCTGAGCATAAGTGATTATAACTGCAGTTAGGAGGTAGAGGAATAGTGTAGATGAATGCAGCTTCCAAGACGATTCTCCCCAGCAAGTAGAATATTCCCACGGCAGTGATTTCTGTAACAGGGAGATGGAAGAAGATGCTTGGTCGGTCCTCTTACTTCAAATTTGGGGCACTGCGCGGTCAAGCTAATGTGACACCAGATAGGAGGGTGTAACAGGAATGATTTTTATTGATGCCACACTGGCTTTTATGAGAGTCCTCCTGCTTACATGCTAGGTCCCACAGTAAACAAAGGTCCCACAGTAAACAAAGACAATAACCAAACAACATACAGATTTACAGTAACACCCGCCCTCTCTCTGCCTGGGAGATATTGAGATAAGTTAAGGAGGTCGGTCAATTCAGTAAATGGAATAAAAATGAATAAAGTCCCAAATGGATCCTCATGGCTCATATGTTTCAGCAGTGGTTCGGGAGGTCGAGTGTCCGATTTTAGTTCCAGACACTCGATGACCAAGTCCCGCTGCCTCCTTTCGTGCCAACACGATGGCCACCGTTTTCTGATCCACGTGGCATTCGGCTATACGAACGGTGGCCGCCCAGAGAGCACTTAATTTTTTATGAAGTTAATGAGCCAGGAGGGTGGTCGGTGTTCGGTAGTTTTAAAACTGCCGAACCAATAAATCCAAAATGAAAGAAATGTTGCAGAAAAGCATGAACAGAGAAGAAAATGCCGAAACTCAGTCTATTTTCTTCACAATACTCCCCCTTAGTTCCATGGGTCGGCATACCCGCCTAGACCCTGCCGGGTTGGTTAGGGGATGTACGGGTAACATAGTTATAAATCCAAGTCGGTTTGGCAGGAAAGACCATGTGCATTGCCATTCTGCTTGCCCGGGTGGTATTGCAATGTAAAATTGTAGGGCTGCAACGCTAGGCTACAGTGAAGCAACCGGGGATTGTCTCCAGAGACTCGGTTGAGCCAAATGAGGGTGTTGTGGTCAGTTAGTAGGGTAAAGGCACGGCCAATAAGGTATGGTTGGAGCGTCTTTAGGGCCCATCCTAGAGCTAGGCACGCTTTTTTCACGGTGGCATAGCTGACTTCTCGTGGTAATAACTTGCGGTTGATATATGCCACCGGGTGCTCCATGCTATCTTCCACCACTTGGCTCAGCACGGCTCCCAGCCCAAACATGGAGGCATCTATATGAATGAGAAATGTTTTAAAAGGGTCTGGGGCCACCAATACTGGAGCTTTGCTTAAAGCAGTTTTAAGTCTCTGGAACGCCTTTGCACACTCCGGGAACCATGCTACCTGTTTGGGTAGGGACTTTTTGGTTAGGTCGGTGAGGGGTTTGGCTAGAGTGCTTTACTCAGGGACAAACTTTCGATAATACCCTGATGTGCCTAAGAAGGCCAATACCTGAGTCTTGGTGCGGGGCTGAGGCCAATTTGCTGTGACCTCTACTTTGGCTGGTTCGGGGCGCTGTTTCCCAGACCCTACTCTATGCTCTAGGTATTGGACCTCTGCCATACCCACATGGCATTTCTCGGGCTTCAGGGTGAGGCAGGCTTCTTGTAACCTCCCGAATACCGTAGCCAAGTGCGTCAGGTGAGCCTCCCATGTGCCGCTATAGATAGCAATATCATCTAGGTACTCCTTCCAGAAGTCAGTCCGCCATCCATTGAAACATAGCCAGGGCATTCTTCATCCCAAAGGGAATAACCCGAAATTGGTATAGCCCGAATGGGGTGACAAATGCCGACTTAGGGATGGCGGCCGAGTCTAGCGGGATCTGCCAATATCCTTTGCACAGGTCTAGGGTAGTTAGGAAGTGCCCACTGGCCATGCGTTCGAGCAATTCGCTGATCTGTGGCATGGGGTATGCGTCCGGTCGTTCAGTTTCTGGTAATCAATACGGAAGCGAATCGTACCATCTCGCTTCTGTACTAAAACCACAGGGGATGCCCAGGGACTTTGGGAAGCCTCAATAACTCCGAATTCCAACATTTCTTGGATTTCTTTCCACATGCTACGCGCACTGCTCCCGGGATATGGTACGGTTGTTGCTGTAATGGGATTTACCCCTGCGTCTCAACCCGGTGCACTGCGGCGGAGGTGTACCCAGGTAGGACCGAGAACAGCCCACTGTATTCCTGGAGCAGTTGTTTTGTGTGTGGGGTCTAGTTTCTCCCCTAACCCGACCTGCTCTAATTATTATTATTATTATTATGATATTTATAGAGCGCCGTCAAATTCCGCAGCGCTTTACAATGGGTGGTCGAACAGACATGTAGTTGTAACCAGAAAAGTTGGACACACAGGAAAGGAGGGGTTGAGGGCCCTGCTCAATGAGCTTACATGCTAGAGGGAGTGGGGAAAAATGACACAAAAGGGTAAGGATAGTATTAGACTACTGACAGTTGCAGAAGAGGAATCAGTCAGGAGCTATTAACAGTTTAATTGATCCGCTTTTATGAAGAAGTGGGTTTTTAACAATTTTTTGAAGGAGTGGAGACTGGGTGAGCATCTAACGGAGGAGGGAAGCGAGTTCCACAGGAACGGTGCAGCCCTCGAGAAATCTTGAAGGCGAGCATCAGAGGTGGGAGTATGGACAGAAGATAGACGTAAGTCTTCAGCAGATCGTAAGGGCCTAGACGGGACATACTTGTGTATAAGGGAGGATAGATAGGTGGGAGCAGCATTATGTAGAGATTTGAAAGCAAGAACCAGAATTTTTAATTGAGCTCTATTTTTATAGGAAGCCAATGTAGGGATTGACAGAAGGGTGAGGCATGGGAGGTGCGGGAGGACAGGAAGAT